GACAAAATATATAGGTACATTATTATTATTATTGTTGTGTTACTATGCCCATAAACAAATCGTGGTTTAAACGTACTGTAGTTGCGCCTGATGTAGTGCGTAAGGTGTAGTAAGGTTTATAAAATAAAAATAAAAAATTGATGAAATAATCACGTAATTGGCAAGTAAGTCCTTAAAATCCACGCTTTAAATATATTTTTCAAAATGCTCTTTACACTTTGAAGTCTAATTAAAAACATTAAAATCAGAACTGGAATAAACGCAGAGTTTTAGCATAACAATGTGTTAAAAAAATAACCCCGTACCGAATATTTATAACAGGGGATTTTTGGAGGGCACCTTCCTTGGAGTCCTAGCTGACTCTTTTTTACATTTGTACAAAATTTTTTTATATTTTTTGCAACAAAAATAGTTATCTTGTTGGACAACTTTTTTTTATTTAACTCAGTATTAGGCATGACGTAACGACAGATGAAAATGCACTTTTGTCCTGACTCCGTGACAGAACTGTGATTATACGTTCCTTAAATGTGAACATAATATTATCGCTATAAGGTTTTATTTTTTCTGTTTATTAGTATATAGTTTGTTTAAAGTTATTTTTTTTTTGTCAATAATTGTCATTTATTATTAATAACGGGAGTAAAGGCGAATAAGATAATACTGGAGTACAAAAATCAGACCACGTCTCTGAAAATGTATCTATTTTAAAATCACTCATTAGATTACTTGAGTAGATATTGACTTATTGGATGTATTTGGTATTCCGTAATGATTGGCTTATTTTTCAGTTGGTGATATCTATGATAACTTTGTCCAGTGTTAAGCCTTTAAGAGTGCTCTATGAAATTAATGTGATCTTATTTTATATCAATTGGAAATATGATCTAATATCGCTATGGGTTTGTATAAGATGTTATTTAATTATTTTTTCAAAATTCCACCTAAAACGTATCGAACAATTATTGTGGGAATATTTCTAGGCCCTAATAGTTGAACCCAACATTAATCGTGCGTTGAATTTAAAATCTAAAAATCGTGAATCAACATTATACATTAAAGTATAGATTACGATGAATTGTTTACATTATATAACCACAGTCTAGACTGGTGTTCCTTGTAGTTAATTATTGTGTAGCTTTTGTCTTTGGGTTAGGTATAATACTGAATATTTATATTGTAATGCTTCATGCTATAATGTATTCATTATTTACTTCTATAATATTATTCAATAAATGTTCAACGTCTTTAATTGTTAATAATTGTTGTAAATAAATTTTGTAAATTTATAATAATATCTAATAACGTATTAAGCATTAGATACTATTTTACAGAGATTTGAACAAAACGAGTTTTGTAACCAACAATTATTGATGTTTTAAAATATAAACTAACCGGGTATAAAATAGCGCATGGACACTGTTCAATTAAGTTTATTGTAATACAAATATTAATAAGTATTTTTACTAAACATTTTATTTAAAAAAATTTATATTGAAAAAACCATACATCAACAATGTAGGTACAGAAATACGATTTAAAGTTTCTAAATGATCATCATTAATATATTGTTTAGTATTTAAATTTAGAAAAATTTCAAAATTATTTGCAATTGCATAATTTGTACTATCTACACCTACTTAATTTGATCTTAAGGCCAAGACAAACCCACATTTTATTATCTTTAATAATGAAAAAATCTCACATTATTAAATATTTTTATACACGTTTAAAGTGGGCAGACTCGTCCTAACTGTATTGGTTATTATTTGTTACCTGAAAATCAAATAAATACTCATAAAACATCTATTTTTGTTTTTTTTCCTACAAAATACTTATAATTTATTTATTGGAACAATAAGCAAATTTTATTGAGAATAATTTATGTACATAAATCATTTGGCAAAAGTAGCCACTCTTTATATTATCACTAAGCCTACCTATTTTGACTATATATTTTTTTTTTGATGGAGGAGGGGGTTATTAGCTTTTAGGTCATATATTCAGCAGGTCACAACATCATTTGTCTTAAAACGTCTTGAGGGATAACCGGGAATCACTATTCTCAAAGACTGCTACATTTTTTATAAGTGGATTCAGATGGGTGGTTAAACTGCTGTGAAGACGTTTGTAACATAGTTTTGATTCTTTTTGTATTGTGTTTGTGTTCAGGGTATGGCATTTATTAATTTTACTAATTCGAATTTTTTTGGAATCTTTGGATTTTGTTGTTGTTGAATTTAACTATAAAACATCTCTAAATACATTACGAGTTATAAGTTATAACCTATATTTATAGTTTAATTAGTTTAAGTGAAAGTACTTCGTAGTACCTATATACGATATTCATGAACAGATACGATGTATTAGGAGATTCAACAAATTATTATATGGATTAATCTTGAACAAATGAATATAGTACACAAGATATTATTCGTATAATAAATATATAATAGGTATGTTAGGTTAGGTTAGGCTAACATTTAATTCAAATTTTTAACTAACAACATATCTGATAACTTACTGCTGTAAAAATGCACAATAATACAGTGTTGCATATTTGTTTATTATATTACCATGTAGCTTTCAATAAAATAGTATGCTCTTAGAAATTGTTTAAGGAAAACCTTCATGTCTCTTTTTTAAAAACATTTAAAACCTACTCAAAAAGAAAAATAAACTATGAAACCATGTATGATAAATATTTTTATAGAGGAAAAAATATTTAGATTGCTTATAATTTAAATAAAATATACCTAAATACATATTTGCTCATCCCAGAAAATATTAATTATATAAATATATAAATAATTATTTATTATTAATTGTGTATTAATAATAACTTATTCAATACTTATCAAATAAGTATAGCAAAAATATTATAAGAACATGGAGTAAGTTAAGATAAATTAAGTTAATGCGTTACATGTGTAATGTGTATATATTAGTTTAATATTAATATAAAATATATACGAGTATGTACTAGTACATAATGTGGTTATGTAGGTACCTAATGAATTCATATAACTTAGTAGATAGTATAACTCAAAATACATTGTGGTATAATGGTATCTGTGGGTATTCTGTCACTAGGAAACATAACTTCGTGAATTTGTAATAACAAAAATTACGTAAAAATATTTTTGAATAATATTTTAACCTCTATTGATTATTACCATAATAGAAATTAAATTAAATTAAAATAACCAGACCCAAATGAATTGCCTTAGGATCTTATATAAATGTATTAACAATATGTATGCAAAACTACATAAACAAACAATAATGCATACCTACTACCTACTATTGTGTAATATTGTAATAATAGTAACGTACAATACTATAATAATGACAATTGACAATAATATACCCTTGGAAGTAGAAGCTGTTTAATGTTTATGTATTATATTTAATAATGCTTATAATTTAAAGGAAATAATAATTATTATTATTAAAAAATACATTTTAATTTAAATGCACAATGTATAGACAACTATTGGAAATTAAAAATTGCTCTAAATTTATTTTTAGAGACACACATAATATCAACTTCATAAAAACATATTATATTAGGTAACAATTAATACAAGTTATGATAATATATAAAAAAAAAAGTTGTAATTTTAATATTGTTAAATTAGTTAAGTATACAAAGACATGTATTATCTATATATATAAAAAAAAAAGTTGCGATACTAATAATGAATCAATATTATTCTATTCACGAATTAAATTAACTTTCAATTCCATTCTTAGAATGTTGTTAAAAAAACAAGTCATTTGATTTGATAAAATGTGACTATAAATTAAAGTAGTAATAATATTATGGAATCTTATCAAGGAAAATCACAAATAGATAGTATTTAATTAATTCAATTAAATTAAACTTTGATCGCAATATAATAATTATTTATACAGTAATAACTAATATTTCATTACTATTATTTTTCTATGGATAAACATTTTTCCTGCCATGGTCATCTAAACTTAATGTTATTTAGATATAATATTTCATAGATGAGGTACTATAATAATACAAATTCGATACAATTGTGTTATTAGACATGTGTAGTTGTTATATTTTGTCATTATTATTATTATTATTATTATTATTATTACGTAAGAACATAGGGATTGGGAGAAGGTGTCTTAGTTTGAGCCGATGGAGAAACGGAGAGTAATCTTGTCACTTATATGACAATACGAGCTCTAATAAACTTCTCAAATGTTTCAGTTGGTCAATAAAATTGATTGATAGTTTTTTTTATGTAAGTTTTGATTGTAGATACAGTTTGAAGTCTGTGTGAAGGTAAAGAGGACTTCGTTTCCTTTGCCTGGTGGTTGGCTGCAGTCACTAATGTGTGCTGAGGTCAAGCACCATCTATTATCACTGGCTCCAGGATAGGTGACCACCCGGGTACTTGGCGACGAATCCTTGCCCCACATTGTTACGTGTTCTTAGACCAACCATACCCCATTCACTAAACTAAATTCTAAAGGTCATAGATTCCGAGATTAATGTTCAGAGGTACACAAGCTTTTACAATTCCACGGATTCTTCATATCTTCACAACATTTTGACGACTCTCAAATTATTATGTACATAGAAAGAAAATATTAAATTATTTGTAATAATATATATAATATAAATATATCAATTATATCAAGACAACAACATTAATAATTATAATCATGCATGGAAAATTGAAATTGCATGTTTTATTTTTTTCCTCTTCTATGCCACGACTCCCTTGACAAATACCTTGATTCCCCTTGGAGCCGCGACGCACAGGTTGAATACCACTAAGTTAATCAAGCTCTATTCTTACTATAATAAAAGTAAAAATTTAAGGAAAATTGTTATTCGTAGTTTTCATTTAACACACTTGTATTATCTATAAACTAAAATAATTTTAAGCCGTTGTTAATATTGTTAATATTTAATTTAAAAACCAAATTAAAATAAAGAATTAACTGTAACTGCTTTAATTGATTTCTAGGAATTTTATCAACTAGGATCAGTTTTCAAGAATCATCGACACGAAAATAGAAAAAGAAAAGTCAGTCATACATAGTTTATATTGTTGAGAATTACGACAAGAATGATAATGAACGAGACGAAAGAAAATCATTATAATTATTTTAGTAAATATTTATGAAGTTTAATTAAGAAGATAAGTAAGATCACTTACTTAGTAGAAGGTCATACTTTCTGAACACTAACCATAGCTATTTAAAATAGTTAAGAAAAGTTTGGATACTAAAAAACCGCCATGAACTAATCAACTCAAACGTACATATAAAAGGTAAGTTAAAATAGTTGATTAATTTTCTAAATTTTTTTCATAAAAAAATCACTCCATAAATTATTATTCCTCAATAAGTAATAAACTAATAACCGACAAAAACATTTTTCCTATTTTAATTCATAGTCAAAAATAAAAGCAATTTTAAATTTAATCTATCTTTACAATAACAAAAATTAAAACGTCATTAGATAATATATTATGTAACATATAATATACTAAACGATAGAGTTTGCGTAACTACAAGACTTAAATCTCATTATCTGTTACTACGTTTTTTTTTAGAAATATTTAAAAAACGATTATACTTAGAACCGAATAATTTTTTTTCAAGAGATCGATTTGGAGCTTAGTCAGGTAAATCAACTATTATTTATGCTTTAGTCCGAGCAGATAAACTTACCAGGAAATATTCAGATAGCAATAAAACAATGTTGGTAATCTTTCTTGATCTAAACAAAGCATTTGATTCGGTGCACCAAAATGTATTTCTTTGTTCAATCAATAAACAAAAATATGCTGCAGGTTTTTTACCTTTTACTAATAAACTGTGGTGCCCCGCAAGGTCCCGTATTAAGTTCTATATTATTTATATTTTATGATCTGTATACAAATGGTATATTTGGTTTAAATTTAAATACTATAATTATTAGCTTTGCAGATGATGGTAATTTTGGTTAGTGCATACCTCGAAAAGTATTTTAAGTAGTTTAGCTATGCTTACACAAGAAAAAATGAATAACTCGTTCGAAAATAATTTACTATAGTCATCAAAGTAGGTACCTGTCCAATAATATGTTTAACAAAAAAATCAAAGTTTAATATATAATCCATTAGGCATTAGTAATACACTACTCAAATTGTAATAAATATTTAGAGTTGAGTTAAAATTCTTGTAAGCATTATAAACTTGAAAATGTTGATTCAATTACTATTTAATACCTTTGGCCTTGATATTTGGTAAAAATTTGAGGTGGACTTTACATGTGATATTAATCATGTATATTGTATAGTATGTATACGGTACAGAAGTAGTTGCATCCTAGACTACCTTACATCTTATCATTATAATATTAAACTCCCTATTGAGATTTATACTTAATAAACCTTATGATTTTGACGTAAAAAATCTTAACAACACTTTTAGCACTGGAAACCTCAACGGTGTACATCTATGAAATGTCTTTAATTATTTTTTTAATGTTAAAGATTTTATCCATCTCATAAGTATCAAACACAAGTTGAACTCTATAAAGTATCTAAATAGTAAATACTCCAGAAAGGCAGAAACCCATAAAAAATTCAATTTGAAAATGGTTGTTTATGTCAGTATTTGTTTTTGTATTTAGCCTAATATTAATTTAATATTGTCTACAAGTATAAAATTAGTATCTATTTAAAAAACCCAATTTAAATCATATAAAATTATACAAATTTTATTAATATTTTTCATTATTATAATTTAAAAATTGCTTATGTATTGTATATAATATACTATTACAATAACATAAATCGTGGTCCATGTTCACATATTTTCAATTTTTTATAATCCAATTCTGATTTTATCCAATATTAAATAGAATACAATGTATGTTTAATATGTCAGACAGCTTGTAAGATCATTCAGAAACTTGCATGCGTAGGTATTTGAAAAAGTTGATAATAGTGAGGGTTCAGATTCTTACAATTTTGTTTTACTTACATAAAATGACGCATCCGAAGATATGCAAGCAAAATATTGTATTAATGTGAAATCAGCTTATCGATTTTGAAACTTTAACAACTATATAATTTTACTATGGTCAAACATGTAACTTTCACTTTAAGATGAACACTTGCGAGTAGGGTTTTGAATTTGAATATTTCACTTGAAACATTTCAAAATTGAAAATTTCACTATTTTTGAAATATTTCAATGAAATAATGAAAATTATTTTTTTCTTCTTTTTAACGTGTTCGTTATTAGATCATTAGAAAGAGTATATTGATCACACAAAAACAACATGGATAATGAATAACTTATCAGTTATCAACTAAAGTTTACAAATTACTATTATATTATGTTAATGGTTATAAATTTGGTTTGTTAAAAAACATCAAACATTTTTTTATAGGCGTTTTAAAATATGTTATGATATTGAGTTGGCTTCAGAGTTTGTAACTTCTGGATTAGGTTAAAATGTTAAAATTTGTTATATTATTATATTTTATACGTATATAGTATGATACATATTTTCTTTGTTGAAATAGCTTAAATTCAATAAAACAACTTTTAAAAATCTTCACATGCATGTTGACGCCTATTAACTTTTAGATAAACATAGAATAACAATTTTATCATGTTTCAAACAATTTTCATGAATTATTACAAGAAAATAAATTTCATGAAATTTTAAAACCCTACTTACGAGTAATGCTATGGTATCAATAACAGTACTAAAATCTGAATATTATTTCAGTACATAATTTGCGAATACTCGTAGTATGCTTATAAATTATATTCAAATAATCACAAAAATCATTGCAGTAATAAATAAATTTATGTAGTATTATATCGAATGAGTAGGTAATTAAAATATTTAATCTATAGATGACTCATATTTTATAAACCTTTACCTACCTATATACTCGTAATATTAAGCCTAAGCTTACAACAAATTAAAACCTGCAATTAAATATAAATCATAATCAAGGTCGGTGTTTATATATATAAACAGTACCATCGATGTATATGTTTAAACTACGCATATTTCAAAATTATATTATTTTACTGTGGGTATTGGTTAATTTTATTTGTAATCATCGTAATAAATTTGCCTACTAATTTAAATCTGTACCAGCTAGGTCTATGTTTAGAGGAGAAATTACGATGATAAGTAATAGAATACCGGCATAAATACCAATTAAATGAACATTAATAATATATAATTTACTTTAGTTTTGCCGTTTAAAGATGTTAATTTGTTCAATAGGATGATGATCATTACAGGTGTAAACTTTTAAGATAAATCATTTCTACATAGTCGGCGTGAAATTTTAAAACATTATCAATTATTAATTACAATACATATTTTGTGTAGTGGTAAAGCACTATTTAAGTTCGATGAACTTAAAAAATTAAGACGGTTTCTATACAACCGTGGGGCCGTATTCTTGATTAAATAATATGCAGTAGGTATACACATAAATATATAATATTGGTTAGACTAGTATATATTGAGCGAATTGTTTGTAAAATGTAAATAGTGTCAGTAATCATCGTAAGAATTCCATAATACAGAATACCCCTGGGGTTCGATGTACAGTAAAAAACTTTTTTCAATGAACCCATGCAACTATAGAATAATATATAACAATGGTTTGAATACGGTGAATATTGTTATTGAAATGTTATTGTACCCACACCTAATCCTGGTTGGTGGATAGTGTTGCTACCTTTCAACAATTGAGAATTTTTCGTTTTATGGATTCGTAATTTCTTGAGGAAAACATTTAATGCGAAATTTGAACCATTCTTTGTAATTAAACATAAACATAAAGGTAGAATACGTATGGCGATTGTATGGCGTCTTGTAGTTTGTATATATGAAATTAAAAACGTGAAAAAATGTATTTGGTACTTATTAAAAGTTAAAACCTTCGTATATTGTAAGTAGGTATGCAGAATCCTGCATAATACCGTACGAGAAACGGTCACTTATTCATGCGATCTGGCAAAAATGTTCATTTCAGAACGTAGACACTTTGTACTATTATATACACAAAGTATTAAATTATATATTATGTATATTATTGAGTACATATATAAATAATGTTATATACTTTGATAAGATTTAAACATTATTTTATTTATTTAATATTTAAAAGTCAATTCAAGATGTTATAACTAGTATATAGGTAAACAAGCCAAAATAATCAAAGTTTTTTTTATGTATAGATTAGCTGGTAACAACCAAGTTACTTGGTTGTGTAGTATATTTTTAAATTATAACTATGCGTATTATAAAATTAGATATACCAAATGGTAATAAACTTGAAAACATTTTTAATATAATTGGTTATGAATTATGGCGACTCATGATTATTCAGACTTTTTAATATTATACCTATTATACCTATATACTTTGTATAGTTAAATAATATTATCAGTTTATTATCAATTATGTATATTATAGAACAAAGTGTCCACGTTTCGTACTTTTAATGTTCAACAGCGCAAAGTGACCTCGAACGTATCGTAATAACTTATAACACTCGATATACTCATTACCTGTAGTCTGTACATTTTTTATTACAAAGCTTCAGAACTACCTAAATGTTTTTTTTTTTATTTTATAGTTTAAATCTAAAACCTTTTAAAACACAAAATAGAAATATTTGAACTTCAACAGTAATTAATAGAATATTACTAGGATGAATTTAAACGTAAATATAATTTTTCTTCCTTTTTACATAGGTATCTATACAGAATACTGATATACGTTAATATAGGTTTATATCACATGACTTAGCTAGTACACAGTTTATAACATACGTATATCCTACGTCAATGAATCTAAAAATAAAACTTTTATTTGCCATTTTTCAACTCTAGGTTTAGATCTTAAACTTTTTATTTATGCTTGTGAAGTATGTATGACTTCGTCGTCTTCATGCATGAATTTTTACTTTTTTTATGAACTTTGTACTTATTGTAAACAAATTTCAGGATCACGGGAAAATAAATAAACAAATATTCAAAATGAACTTCCCCATAAAGTTAACCATACCGATATGTTTGAGCCAAATATTATGGCACAACGTGCACTTAATGTACATGTTGTGCCATATATGACAACCATCATCGAATAATACAATTTTATTTATGCTATTTCTAGAATGAAAAGCGCCCAAAATATGTTTTTATGGATATTGATACTCGATATTTGTGCCAAAGTACCAAGTGAAATTTATGCCAATTAAAATGTATCAAACAAAAATTAACACAAGATAAATGTGGT